AGCAGGGTTGCAAGGGAAGCTGGTGGTGGGTTTGGCTGAAGCAGTAATTCTGTATCAAAGCTCCGAGGAAAAGGTTAAATTAGAAAAACAGGGCCCATTGGACACAGCTGTAAAAGTGAGGTGGCGAATCCTGTTTCCCAGGTGGTAGATGACAGAGTTTCTACAGTTTCCCATCAGTGGGCTGACAGGGAGGGAAAAGGAACTGGGACACAGCCTAAGAAAGGATGACAACCTCATAAGCTCCAGATGCAGACAGATGCAGAAGCCATTCTAGAGCCAGTCACAGAATGCTCTCTCCACTTTTGTCCCCACCTTCAGAGGGGACGCATTCAGGAGGACATTAGAAAGAAGTTTCTAGTGGGTGGTGAGGAAGATAGGGCGTTGGAACAGGAAACTGGTTTGTAGACAAATGACACTAAGCTTTGGACATACTGAGGGCACAGTCTGAGGTGACATTTATACGGATACATGTTACAGCAAATGTAAGGTGTCAGGCTGGAACTTAAGACCGAGCACCATCTGAGAGGCAGCCTGGGGGTGAGCACATAGAGATCACATGTGTACCTCAGCCAGGGCACATAGATCACTCACTGGTCAGGGATTTTGGACTTGATCCTCATTTAGAAGTTACCTAACATCTCTCTGAGCCTAGTTATCAGTATCATTAAACACAGGCACTGCCACCACAGACCTCAGAGGTGAATAGTGGATATTAAGGATGACCAGGCCCACAAAGCACAGAGCACAGTGGCTAGCACACTGGAGTTTAGCTGGCAGTGAGGGTGACAACAGTGACGGACAGAAAGAAAGATTCTATGTGCAGAAGCCCACAGGCATCCCAAATGCCAATTTTAAATGAGAGATAAAGAGACAAGAGGATGGAGGGGATAAGAGAGAAGAGAAAGGGTACACCTATATCCAATAGGCTGAGTCATAGGCAGAGGGGTGATTTCACCTATAAAGAGGTCTCTGGTCACTGGCCTCTTCCTTTCCCCACCTACTCTTATCCAAAAGTATCAATCCAGCAATGGGGGTCAGAGTGATGGTTCAGGATGGCACATTTCTGAGAATGAGCCCACCCAGACTTAGTACTAAAGGAGCAGGCAACCATCCCAGCTCACAGTGGGAAGGGCCCAAGCACTCCCAAGGCAGTGTACAGAAAACACAAAATGGAAATGAGAGGTGATAATTCCACCGCCCGGCCCTCCGCTGAACACTGTGAAGAACTCATCAGTCCCATCTTTTGGCCCTATCTCCACAGTCGAATTTACTCTCTGTGCTTGTGCCATTTGGCAGCTTCTGAGGGAAACAGCAGTGCACTGCCCCGCCAAGACAGGGGAGCGTTATCCAGGAGGGAGAACTAGATGGATACACATATCCCTAATTCATCAACAAAATTCTCCTTCACTCAGGCACAGCTAATGCAATTTGAGCCAATGAACCAGGTCCTTTGAGCTTGGGAGTGGATGGGCGAGTTGAGCCACCCAAAGGTGTGAAGGCATGGTGAAGTATAAGATCCCCACCCACTCGTCCCCTCTCCTCCCTGAGCACCTGTCAAAGGGCTGGCTTTGTGCACCAGCATCTGCCACCACCTCTTTCTCCTCTTCCTCATCTCAATGTAATGTGCTTTTACTTTTATATTTTTCCCATGTTTGCCTGCTTCCAACTTTCCTAGTCTATCACCCCAGCCTTAATATCCTATCCCCCCACACACACAAATACAAAAATTACAGCACTGAAGTAAAAAAAAAATAGAAAGAAACCCTCCAAAAATCTACAGTTAGTCAAATCAGGCAATTCTTCAATCATCTCTCCTTACTCTTTCCTGATTGCCCAGGTGCTGATGATACCCCAAATTCAGTTTTGCATAAAACCCAGCAATTATGAGACACCTTTCTCTATCTCCCCTGTGCCTGAAACACACATCACAGGGAGGGTCTTAGAGCACCTTGCAATGAAGTAAGAAACATGTCTATACAGAACGTCTACTTCCAGAGAGCCCGTTCCTGCTGGACACCACATGGCATCATGCATAAGGTCCAAGCAGGCTTTATGGGGAGGCAGAACCGTCCCCAACACTGAACACAGGGTTCATTGAAGGACAATGATCACAATGACTTTTTTTTTTTAATTTCCTTTACATGCCGTTAAAAGCAGTAACTTTTAATATGCCCTATACGTTCATCAGAACCAACAGTTCCCCTCACATACACAGGTAATTCAGAATGCACATTGACAGGTTGATAGAATGATAAATAAAGTGGTCTATACCTTTACTTCTACCTACAGAAAGGAAGCAGAAGGTCCCGTTAAGGAGAGGAAGCATGGTGTCCACCATGGAGGCGCAAGAGAGCGAGAGAGAAAGAGAGTGGACATCAGCACACTGCAGGCACAACGACAGGTAATACACATGGCAGCTCTCAGGACAGACAGCACAGGAAGTTGCCCCACATCATCCTCAGGAGGCAGTACAAAGCAAATGCATGATGGGAGGGCTTAAGGAACAAATGCCGGAGTCAGCCAAGCTGCATCTATCAGCTCCATGTTTAAGCTTCATCTCACTTGTTTCTTCTCAGTTATAGCCTTAGAAACATGGCAAAGTCTGCATGCAAAAGCATTACACAGCCACGTAGATGTGAAATTGCACACATATAACCAATGTTAAAGAGCGTGATTAGGGAAAGTCTTTGAGAATCTCCATTTTCCAACATTCACATGAGACACGAGGACCAAGATGTGGCATACAACTCCAGGGGATGCACACACAACACACATAAATATCACATGTATTGGTGGACACCAAATATTAATTCTGTAGATTCAGTGGGAACCAGGCAGAAGGCCCTACCTCCCATGTGCAGGGATTAAGAGAAGGCAGGGGGTCCTGGTGGGGAGAAGAGTGGTGGGTTTTAAGGCGGTCATTGAAGGGATAAGAATGGATGAGGGGAAATGGAAAAGAATGAGAGGACATGGAATGAAGTCAAAGAGATTTCTTAAGTCAAATTAAGCCTCCAATAGCAACTTAAACCCTTAGTGGCACCATCACCCAGAAGAAGTCTGCATCTTTTCCTGAAGCTTATTCAAAGAAGGAATTCACAGCATCTGTTTTTGCATGGTTCTTTTATTTTCCCTTGAAGGGATACCAGCCTAGAGCATGGTTGGACTTGAATATTGCACAATGGCACATGTGGGGTTAGAGTAAGGTGCGTGCCACGAAGTCTCCAAATACTGCTCATACCAACCTTGGAATCTAACCTTCCTATGGTGCATTAGTGTGCCTGAAATAAGCTAGGTTAAGATCAAGGGAGTCCCTCCATATCAGCCCATCTGCCCACCCTGTGATACTAGCTATATGATGTGTGCAGCACTTGGAAGCACTTGGAATGCTGGGAGACTTTGCAAAGAGAAAGCAGGAGCACAGCACTGGAGAACACAGGAGGAGTTCCTATCGTAAGGACTCTGACGACCTGATATATGGTGTCACTTGTCATTGAGTGCAGACCGTTAAATTCCAGCAATTCAAGGAACTCTGTCTTTCTTCAACGGGAAGGCTTTTGTTTCTCAAATTATCCAAATACTAAGTCCATATCAAGCCCATCCTCTACGCAAACTTACCTCCCAACACTTGGCATTGCGTCCCCTCACTGAGCTACAAGAACAGGCAGCCTTCATTCTAGCTCCTTACCTAACCCTAGAGGGCTCACCTGACCCTCCCCTTCAGATATATATATTGATATCTGTTCTCTACAAAACCAACACTGTCTTGAAATTTATGGAGCCCACACCTTGGCTCATGCTAAGGAACACACTTAGATTAGAAAAGCAGTTTTAGTAATTCAGGACGCTCTCAACTGCCTAGCTCCAGCTGCTAAACAGTGTCTTTCAGTCCCGGATGGTTACTTGACCGATGGCATCTCTCTTACGACCACACCATCCGATAGGTCAATTTGAGAGAGTAGGGGAAGGGAAATGACTGTGTACTCTCCAAAGACCGAGAAAAAAAATCGTATGTGGAACTCCTCCACATCTTTCTTTTCTTGATCCTCCCAAAGGAACATTGAGTCTGATGTGTGTTTTGAAAAGAAACAGATAAGATAAATTAAAGAATAGTCTTTTGGTGACAGGGCAAGGCAGGTAGACCCATCTTGCAATCGCCCAAGGCTCAGAAGAAACACAATAGTAGCGATTGAACAGTGAAGCAAAAGACAATTTTAAGTGGGCTCGGTTCTCAGATCCTGATTTGGGCTGATAATGTGGAAAATTTTTACTGAGGAGAAAAAGGCTTCATTCACAACCCACCCCATGCCTAGCTGAGCTGAATTTCCTGCATATTTGAATAATTTAGGTTGCAGATGCTGAATTTACAGATCTTTATATGCAGTTTTCTTCAGGGTGTATAATGAGTTAGAATCCTACCATGAGGACATTAGCATGTTTTTTGGTGAATCCTTTTATTCTTTTATATAGAATTTAAAACAGAAAAAAAAAGACCCCCAAGGGCTTCTTTTGACCAGGAAGGGTGGAATGTGTCAAGATGGCAGTGGAATGCGGGGGGGGGGGGGGGGGGGGGCATGCAGCAAATCTTTACCCAGTGTAAAGTTCAGGGAGAAACCCTCCTCCTTGCTCCCAAGCTGGGTCCCAGCCTGGGTCCTAGGAGGAGCAGGAGGAAGTTAACCGCCTGGTTGCTCTGAAATTAGCTCCATTCACTCCCATTACCAACGTGCCATGCCTTGTTTCATGCTTCCCTCTTAGAGGCAGCCTAGCAGGGCCAGTGCCCTGCCTCGCCCAGATGACAAATGGAGAAGCTAGGAGTAGGAGGTGGGGCATCATGGTGCATCAGGAAAAGTGTTCCTCAGCAGCAGAGTGGCCCCTGCTCCCAGTCTGGTCCACAGCAGGAGGCACAGGCAGCAAATGGCCTTCTATGGAGGAGGCTCGGAGGAATGACCAGGCAGAGGCACAGAGGCAAGCAGTTCAGGCATCTGCAGGACCACAGCACCTACCTTGTTCACTCATCATAAGGTGGGAAAGGCCTGAGAGGGAGAGAGAGAGAGAGAGAGAGAGAGAGAGAGAGAGAGAGAGAGAGAGAGAAAGGGGGAGAGAAAAGATGGTTAAAATCCCAAATGCAAAGCAACATTCTCATAATTGTTGCACAGAATGAGGTGTAGCAAGGACACATGCACACACACATAGTAGCAAGCAACACACCCCCAACATCAGCCCCCACACTGTGGGAGTAGGTTGGCCCTCTCCCTCTAAAGAACAGGTTTTCATTTGCTGAATAACACCAAGGACTTCCTTGTTATTGTTATTCTTAGCAATCCATAGGATTTGTGAAGGATCTACTAAGATTAGGTCTCTGAGAAAGAGACTCAAAAGTATCGGGTTAACGGTTTCTTTCTTTCAAATTACTTGCATCAGTAATACATGTTCACTGTAGAAACTGGGGAAAACCCCAAGAATAAAAAAAGAAGAAAAGAATGAGTTAAAATCTCACTATCTAGAGGGTGACAAGCATTTTTCCTATGCATTATATTGTTCTCTACATAAATTGGATGACACTGAATGCATCAACACACTTCCTACTTGCAAGGGTTGCTCAGATCACCTAGAAACATTTTCGCTTTAACCAGTGATAACCACACTCTGTCTTCTACCTCTTCAGCTGTACTACAAAGTCTCTCATGTTTCACAAGAAAAAGCCTAGCCCTGAACTGAATGGGCTAAAGAAGGCATACAAAATCCCAGTACACACCTAACAGGACCTCTGGAGAGTTCTTACAGGGGGCAAATTCAGTTCTTCAGGGTTTCTCAGGACAAGGGAGCATGAGCTCTGGTAAGTCGACTAATAGAAAAGGTTTCCAACTGCAGAGTAGCCAACCACACCGGCTGTTTGCCCTTGCGCTGCTGCTGCTTCTATTACCACAAAAAAGTATCTCACAAAACCCAGATCACCCCCCTAGAGCCTCTCCTCAAAGCAGAACTCAGGGATATAGAGGATTAGTAAAGGACAAAAAACCCTCTAAAGTATGGAAATCTCTAAATGTTTTTGGAGATTACTAGAGATTTAGAAAAGTAATCAGAGGCTAAATGTAGGTCAAGAAACTGACTTTTCAAAGATCAGTGATATATTAAATACATAGATACACGTGCCATAAATGTCATGGAGTCTATTTTTTGAAACAAATTTCATTAAACTATAATCATATTTTTAAAGCTCAGGTTCTGGCACTCGGGGCAGTAGGACCAGGATTAATACTCAGGGAAGAATGAAATCACGACAAAGCAGGCAAGGCTCACAATTTTCTTTGTTCACAAAAACTTTTTTGATTTTTTTTTCTTTTTTCTTTTATTTTTTTCCTCTTTTCTTTTTTTGGTCTTCTATGAGCCAGAGGAATAGAAGGAAGAGAGGAGAAGAAAGAAGCTTAGATTTTAGAGGACACACAGAAACAGCCTTTCCTCCATAGCTGATTCTTGGCGGTCAGGTCCTAGGGACCAGCATCAAGGTCAAGAGCACAGATGAGAAAGGGTGTGGGACAGGAGCTGAAGTCTGTGGAAATGAGGGTGACAGAAACTCAACATCCAGAGGGTTTTGTCACCTTTGAGAAATAAGAGTAAAGATCAGAAAAGATATTTCAGAATAAAATAGGGTGCTTGAAGAGGTTTTTTTTGGGAGGGGAGGAGAAACTGTTATACACAATGAGACTGAAGGTGTTTATAGCTTCACCAAAAGCAGAAAGGTTATGGGAGATTCCACCTGATCCAAAAATGTATGTAAAATTTTCCAAATGAAGAGTAAATGGGCCACTTGGTAGTAAAGCCACCAGTGGGGCTCCAGCTAATGTACTTCTCAAAGCAGATAAAGAGTGAAGATTCAGGGCCCTACCCCAAGCAGGCTAAATTAGAATCCTGGGGTGGGATAGGGATTGGGGGTGCTGGCACAAGATCTGAAATTTAAATCAGCTGCTCATAGGATTCCCATGCTCACAGAAATTTGAAATTTATATGGTGGCATATATATCAAATTTTAGTAAATTAAATTGCATGATAAATGTAGCTAGAAGAATTGGGTGCTTAATGGAACCCCACAGTGGATCTTCTAGTAGAGGGAAGAATCCTTTTAAAATGCAAATACCTGCCCCCTGTGTTTCTTAAATTTCAGATATGTACTGGTCAGGTTTTATTAGGCTACCTACATAGTTACAGCATTTTCATCTTCTTCCTCTTCTAAAAAAAAAGCTCAAGTCATGTATGAAGTCAGGAATACAGTTATGGAATCCTAATGTCAAACTTTGGTATTGAAGAGATAAAGCAAAACAGACAAAAAAAAAAAAAAAAACCAGGAAACAGGTTGCAAGAAGGGAGGAGACCAAAATATGATTATTTTTTATTTTACTTTCTGTGAGGAGGATTTTACTTTACAGATAATAATGATTGCTTCATACATTGCCTTGGGTTTTAAATGTACTTATAGAAGTCTATGCCAGTGATTCTCAACCTTCTTAATGTTTCCACCCTTTAAGACAGTGCCTCCTTTTGTGGTGATTCAAACCATAAAATTATTTCATTGTTATTTCATAACTGCATTTTTAAATTATTGATTTTATTGAGCTCTACATTTTTCTCTGCTTCCCTCACTGCCTCTCCCCTCCCCTTCAACCTTCTCCCATGGTCCCCATGCTCCCAATTTACTCAGGAGATCTTGTCTTTTTCTCCTCCCCATGTAGATTAGATCCAAGTATGTCTCTCTTAGGGTCCTCTTTGTTGCCTTGGTTTTCTGGGATTGTGATTTGTAGGCTTGTTTTCTTTGTTTTATGTTTAAAAAACACTTATGAGTGAGTACATATGATAACCGTCTGGGTCTGGGTTACATCACTCAAACTAATGTTTTCTAGCTCCATCCATTTGCTTGTAAAATTCAAGGTGCCATTATTTTTTCTGCTGTGTAGTACTCCATTGAGTAAATGTACCACATTTTTCTTATCCGTTCTTCGGTAGGGGGCATTTAGGTTGTTTCCACATTCTGGCTATGACAAATAATGCTGCTGTGAACATAGATGAGCTCATGTCTTTGTGGCACAATTGAGCATCCTTTGAATATATACCCAAAAGTGGTATTACTGGGTCTTGAAGAAGGTTGTTTTCTAATTTTCTGAGAAATCGCCACACTGACATCCAAAGGGGCTGTACCAGCTTGCACTCCCACCAGCAATGCAAGAGTGTTCCCTTTACCCCACCATCTCTCCAGCATAAGTTGTCATCAGCGCTGTTTTTCTTTTTTTTTTTAACTTGGCCATTCTTACAGGAGTAAGATGGAATCTCACAGTTGTTTTAATTTGCATTTCTCTGATGACTAAGGATGTTGAGCATTTCCTTTAGTGTCTTTCAGCCATTTTATATTCCTTTGTTGAGAGTTCTCTGTTTAGGTGTGTACTCCATTTTTTATTGGATTATTTATTCTTTTGATGACCAATTTCTTGAGTTTTTTGTATATTTTGGAGATCAGACCTCTGCCTGATGTGGAGTTGGTGAAGATCTTTCCCATTCTGTAGGCTGTCATTTTGTCTTGTTGACCATGTTCTTTATTTACAGAAGATTTTCAGCTTCAGGAGGTCCCATTTATCAATTGTTTCTCTCAGTGTCTGTGCTACTAGGGCTATATTTAGGAAGTGGTCTCCTGTGCCAATGTGTTCAAATGTACTTCCCACTTTCTCTTCTATGAGGTTCAGTGTGGCCGGCTTTATGTTGAGGTCTTTGATCCATTTGGACTTGAGTTTTGTGCATGGTGATAGATATGGGTCTATTTTCATTCTTCTACATGTTGATATCCAGTTATGCCAGCCCCATTTCATAACTGCCATTTTGATGCTATCGTGAATCATAATGTAAATATCTAATATGCAGGATATTTGATATGTAACTCCCAGTGAGATTGTGACTCACAGGTTGAGAACCACTAACCTATGCCTACATAGGATATGAACTATGAAACAATATGAACACACAGAGAAACATTTATCTATTTAGTATCTGACACTCAATATATATTTGACAGTTGTATGAAAAATGAATAGATGGTATCAAATAGATAAGTATCAAATTATGAATTCATGCAATAATGAGTAGAGACTGATGCTGCATATTCAGAGAAAGTTCCTGCAAGGCCAGGAGATTTTAAATACACCTTCAAAAATGGCTTAAGGACTGAGGGTATGGTTCATTTTTACCTCAGTCTTGTAAGCACAAAGACCTGAGTTGGAGCCTAAGAACCCACATAAAAATGCCAAACATGCTGGCTCATACTTGTAATACCAGCACAGGGGAAGAAGAGACAGGAGGATTCCTGAAGCTTACTAGCCAGTCAGTCTAGCCTAACCTGTCAGCTCCAGGCCAATGACAGACAGTATCTCAAAGGAAATAGTTGAAGTTTTCCCTGCAAGCACATAAGTGCACACATATTCATATATACACATGCAGTAAAAATGGTTTAAGATTTGGAGAAAGTGTTAGCATTATGGGTAGTACCATGACCTCCCAGGACCACCCTGTTCTCCTTTCCAGAAAGAAAGGCATTTCTGGGTACATGATAAGCATGTAATAATATACTATATGGAAAAAAGAAAAGAAGCATGTAATTAGCTTATATAAAAAAAATAGATGATCCTAATAATCTAAGCATGGAAGTCATAAGTTTCAAGACTAAAGAAAATTAACTTGATCTTTCAGCTGATGGGAGACACTGGGGGTTCATGGGCAGGCAAATGTCCTGGAGAAAGCAATGTTGAGGAAGATTACTATTGCAGTAGCAGGGATGAAACAAATTAAGGGAATAAGGCAAAAGAAGAAAGATCAGTCAGAGGTGAAGGACCCAGTGATTATCAAATAGCAGAGACAGAAAGGGAGAAAGAGGATTTAGCAGACTTTGATGATGAATAAGATGCTGTGAGGAGAGGCAGATGAGCGATCAGGAAATGGAAAAGCAAGAGAAGAACTAAAGAAAGTGAAATGAGGTGGGGAAAGATATTTAGAGTGG